CTGGTGGAGGGATGGGTATTTGATCGTTGTGTGATTGTAACCCAAACATGAAAGTTTGTAACTATCTCACAGTGATTTAATAAAATTTAAAAAAAAGAAGTTTCCCGGAGGCAAGTTAAGTTTATGATGTTGATCGAACAACCAAGTGAATATATTTAATGGAAATCAGAGAATGAGTCCCATTAAAATATCAAATCAGTAATGTACTTTTCAAATCAAGATAGTGGATGACGGTATCTAAAAAGCAAGTTTCACGATCAACAATCACAACCATCCTGTATTCGTCGATTGCCTCCAGCAGGCCCCAGTAACGTCTCCTTCATTCTAGCCCTGAGATTTTTTAAAAAGTGCCATATTCAAGGCTCTTTCAGTGTTAGGAGAATGAGACCCATCATTGCTACTGTTATTTGGCATATTGGGTACGCCATGGGGAGTTTGCCAGACTCTGCCATGTGGGCAGGTTACATTCGGTAGCCTGCCAGTTTGTCAAAAGTAGGAATGAGATAATAAGAGTCTCCTGCCCCCGTGCTTGGCTGTCCTCACCAGGGCCCCCTGGAGGGAGCGGGTTGAGTTTCCCTCCCTGCACTGAGCAGAGCCCTAGCAGCCGAAGACCTCCAGAACCAGCCACCACCATGCTGAGACCACTCTCCGCACGCATGAAGGTACCAGCAGAGGAACAAAGGCATGTGGGTTCCGGGGCTGAGATCTCCAAGCCTGCTCAGCTTGGGGCTGAGCATCCTCCACCCAGATCTTTCAAATTCCAATAGGAAGGGGCCACACCCACCAACTGGCCCCCTGGTGCCGTGTAATCCCATCAACCACCAAGACCCAGAGACTATAAAACCCAGTTCCTGGAAAAAAAGCAAGTTTAGAGAGAAAGAATTATCAGGTAGTACAGGTAGTCCAAATGAATCAGGTAGTACAAGAAGAATATGAACAATTCTTAAAAAGAAGGGGTTATGTACCTTGAAATGTCAGTTGAGATGAGATCTTAGGGGCCTGAGTAATAGTGCAGCAGGTAGGAGTTTTTACCTAGCATGTGGTCAACACAGGTTCAATCCCAGCATCCCATGTGGGATTGAACCACCCTCAAGCACCACCAGGAGTGATTTCTGAATGCAGGGCCTAGAGTAAACCCAAATAATCTCGAGGAGTGTCCCCCAAACAAAAAACAAACAAACAAAAAGATGAGATCTGAAAGGTGATCAGTAAAAGCAGAATAAGGCAAGATTTTGGCCATTAGTGGCCTTGATAGAAATATGGTGAGTGGATAATGAAAGTCAAGAGGGAAATGTAAACAATAAGGAAAGTTTTTCAAGGAATTTTTTTAAAAATGATAGTTATTGAATCGGGACCTATGGTCTGTGGAATATGTATTTTATTGATTAGTAAGAGAAAATACTGAGAGAAAATATTGATTTAAAAAAGAGTAGGGCCTGCTCGAGGCAATTGACGAACAATAGGATGATTGTGATCATGATTCTGGATAATAATCTGGAGATACTGAAGCCCTAAGGAAAACAACACCTCGAAAATTAAGCAAACATATCTGTGGTGGCCTTATACTATGCCAAGCAGGGGAGGTGAAACTATTTTTCTTGAATTCCCTTTCTGCTATGGGTCTCTGTTATTTTTGGCTACAAGGTGAATTTTGCAAGTGATATGAAGGAGAAAGTAAAGCAATGCTAATAACATTATTTTAAAAATATATTTATTTACAGAAACATGATTTATAACCTTATTGATAGTTTAGTCTTAGATATACAATATTCCAACACCAATTCCATCACCAGTGTCACTGTCCCATATTGCCAGCATACCTGATGTCCTAGACACTATCCCCATTACTTCGCTTTCTCATCTTCCTCCCCCACCTCCATTTCTAACTTTTTCTGCCTTTCCCTGAACTCTGGGGTCTAGTTTGATCTAGGCATCCTCCCCCTTTGCTACACTACCTTTTCTTGTCCAGTTATTCTATGTAGACTACAGTGAGATTGTCCTGTAACTGTCCTTCACTTTCTAGTTTACTTCATTCCAGAGTTTACTTCCAGAGTTTCAACCAGATTACAGCAAATTAAATGATTGCATCATTCTTGCAGCTGCATAGTATTCTACTGTGTGGCTATACCCACTCTTCATTAACCCTCTTCATAATCTGTTCATCTATTGACCAACCACATAATTCTTATGCTAGGAAAGTGGGTGAAGACCCCTAGGTACATATGATCAGGTCTTTAAAGATTAAGTATTTGTTGGGTTGTTGCTGTTGCTGGGCTCCTGGTGGACTCAAATGCTTTCACTCCTCCGTTAAAGAGCTGGCCCACAAAGATGTGCCTATGTGCAGTTTATATTAAAGTGTAGTAGAGTTATAACAGAGCTACAATGCTAAAGACATTTGGTGCTCCATATACTGATCTCACTCACCATCCACAAGAACTTGGAGTTGTATCCACTGCAACACGGTGGCTCTTCGTGAAAACCTGGATGTGAGGTTGTGGTCTTCTCGACCAAGGAGAGAGGGACACTTATTCTGCAGTTACATGTGGGCCTCAGTTTCAAGGCCAGGCTCTCAGGACCATACAGTTGAGAGTGGAGTGTCAAAGGAGCACCAGAGGATGCAAAATGTTTAGACCTCTTAGATCCCACTAAGGTCAGTATGAGGAAATCCCAAACAGTAACTGAACACTGAACATCTGTACTTAGTACAGACAGTACTTCTCTGAGTTTGGGTTCCAGTTAGCACATCCCTGCAAAAGCAGCGGCCCCAGAGTGCTTAAGAGGCAGGGTGGGATGGGGGGACAAGGGTAGGAGGGATACTGGGATCAGTGGTGGTGGAGAATGGGCACTGGTGGAGGGATGGATATTCGATCATTGTGTAACTGAAACCCAAGCACAAAAATTTGTAAATCTACAACTGTACTTCATGGTGTTTCGCTAATAAAAATCTTAAAAAAAAATGCATACTTTCCAATCCCACCAGTACTGTCAGACCTGAACTAAAGGGCAGGACTCAGCAATTCGGGCTTTAATAGAACACCTGCATGTCTCAATCAACAAGATTTGAGACCTCTATTCTAAAGGAACATGCAAACATCTTGGAAGGACGCTGATGAACCCTGACCCTGCAGTCAGGAGTTGAAGAACCAGGAATCCTTAAGGATGAAAGGGTTTTTTTCACGGTCTCATTTGACCTTGAATTTGCCTATCAGAGGATCCAGGTCACAGAGGTGCATGGTGTGTCCAGATACTCCTGACATTAGGACTCTCAAGAACAAACAGGAACCCAGAACATGGGGCAGCCCAAAAGATTTCAGTATAAATATAGATCAGTATTGCTCCTGATTTCTATCACTCGGGTCACAGACTCTGTGGCTTAAGCACGTTCTTTTCGAGTTTGCTGTGTTTTGTTTTATTAGGGGTGGGGAGAGTGCAGAGTTGCTCCTTCCTACCGCCTTCCCGGGGTCTCAGGAATGCAGCCGCCTAGCAGGATTGAGGCACTTTCCTGGAGCTAGATAAGCTTTCTGCTCTGAGTTTTGCCTCCTTCTCCTATTTCCTGGGCCTCGGGGGAGTAGACGGCACCGCCTCGCGCCGCCCGAGTCCTGGGCTCCCTGTGCATCTGCAGGGAGAGAGATCGCTTCATTTTTGAAAAAATTTATTCATTTATTTAGTGACATAAGGATTTGACAGTCTTTCCACGGAGGCCGGACTGGTAAAGCGCCAGACTTTGCCCAGCCTCGCCGGCCCGTGCCCTGGCGGCCGGAGGCTGAGCCGCTCGCAGTTAAGGTGGCGCTCCGCCTGTCCCGCGCCCGTTAAGTGGCGGTTTCCGTAAGGGCGAGGGCACTCCGGCGCGGGCCGCTCTCCACGGCCACATCCCGCCCAGATGGGCTCTCTCGGAGACACGGGCACATCCAACTGCAGTCCAGTTGGAGGCAGACTGCTCGGCGCTGGCCGGGCCCAGGGCGGCCCGGGGCCGCAGACCCGTAGGGAGGAGGGGGCGTGCGCGCAGCCCCAAGAGGCGCCAGAGCGGGGGGCGCGTCTCGCTCGGGGCTTTCGCTTCGGTCTCAAAGTCCTCCTTGAAATCTGCCCCCGTCACGCGTCACGGCCGGGTCCCGCTGCGGGAAGGCCCAGAAGTCCAGGGAGCCGGTCCGGAGGCGCGGGGAGCAGGCGGGGGCAGGGGCGACCCCGGCCCGGCAGCCCCAGACCACGCTCGGCCGCGCCTCCTTAAGAGGAGGAGGAGCCGGGCCGGGCCCGCTGCCGTTCCCCGCCGGCCCGCGGGCCGCCCCCCGCCCCCAGTCCACTCCCGCGGCGGCTGAAGAAAGTTTCAACAACAACAGGCGGGACCAATCGCCTCTCAGAGAGCTGGGAAGGGGCCGAGCCCGGCGCCCCGGCGCAGAGAAAGGAGCGGGCGGGCGGCGAGCGCGGCGAGCGGGGGGCTGCCGCTGTTTTTGTTTGTTTGCTTTGCCATGCATGCATAATGAGGGGGCGCCGCGGCTGCACGCGGGGGCTCCCGGGCCACTTTTGTACTTAAAGCCGCGCGGCGATCGCGCCCCGGTCCGGCAGCGGCATCCACTCGCCGCGCTCCCGCTCGCCCGGAGGAGCAGCGGCCGCGGAAGCCCGGGCGCCGCGAGTCCCGTTGTCCCCGCGCCGTCCGGAGCGGGAGCCAGGCCCGGGCGGTGGGCGCGGGGCGGCGGGGGCGCGGGCAGGCGGGCGCGGCCGCGGGACCCGGGCCGCGATGCGAGCGCGCGGAGCGGCGGTGGCGGCGGCGGCGGCGGCGGCGGTGGCAGCGCGGCTCTGAGCCCGGGACGGAGCGGCCGCGGCGGCCCCACGAGCCTGCAGAGGCCGAGCGGGATGCACCCTCGGCGCCGCGCGGTCCCCTGGCGCCGCGGCGGCCTGTCGGCCCGCAGCTCCCCGGGACGGCGGTGAGCGACCCCCGCCGCCGCCGGGGGCCCGCGCGGAGGGTCTTCTCGCGGCTCTGCGTTCCGAGGACGCCGCCGCCGCCGCCGCCGCCCGGCAGGAGCGGATTCTGCGAGCAGCGGGGCCGCCGCGAGCCGCGCGCATGGATCTATGAGGACGCTCATGCCAGGAGTCGGCGGGACTGGAGCAAACTTTCCCAGCGATCCTGCGTCCGGCGCGCCCCGGCCCTCGACTCGACGCCCCGGCAGCCCCGGCGGCCGGCGCTGCCCGCGATGGTGGCCGGGCCGCTGGGCGGCGGCGGCGGCGGCGGCGGCGGCGGGGCCCTGCTGTGCGTGCTGGCGCTGCTGCAACTGCTGAGCTCGGCGCCGCGGGGCGCGGGACTGGCGCACGGCCGGCGGCTCATCTGCTGGCAGGCGCTGCTGCAGTGCCAGGGCGAGCCGGAGTGCAGCTACGCCTACAACCAGTACACCGAAGCGTGCGCGCTCGTGCTGACGCCGCGCGCGGAGGCCCACGCGCCGGCCGCCTTCCCGGCCCCGGTCGCCGCCTTCTCGCCGCGCTGGCGCTGCCCGAGCCACTGCATCTCGGCGCTCATTCAGCTCAACCACACGCGGCGCGGGCCCGCCCTGGAGGACTGTGACTGCGCGCAAGACGAGAACTGCCGCTCCACCAAGCGCGCCATCGAGCCGTGCCTGCCCCGGAGAGCGGGCGGCGCGGGCGGCGGCGCGGGCGGCGTGATAGGCTGCACCGAGGCGCGGCGGCGCTGCGACCGCGACAGCAGCTGCAGCCTGGCGCTCGGCCGCTACCTGGCCTACTGCGGCAAGCTCTTCAACGGGCTGCGCTGCACCGACGAGTGCCGCGCCGTCATCGAGGACATGCTGGCCGTGCCCAAGGCGGCCCTGCTCAACGACTGCGTGTGCGACGGCCTGGAGCGGCCCATCTGCGAGTCGGTCAAGGAGAACATGGAACGGCTCTGCTTCAGCTCCGAGCAGAGCCACGGCCCGGGCAGCAGCGGCTCGGACGGCGGCCCGGACGACTACTACGACGAGGAGTACGACGAGGACCCGCGCGCGGGGGGCGCAGGCGGGGAGTCGCCGCCGGACGACGACGACGACGGCGGCGGCGGCGGCGCGGGGGCCCGGGGCGACCCGCCGCACGGACCGGGCCGCAGGAGTAGCGGCGGCGGCGGCGCCCTCCGAGCCGCCGGGGCGCCGGGGATCTTCGTCGTGTTGCTGCTGCTATTGCTGCTGGACCCACTGCTCCTCTAGCCCGCGCCGCCCGCGCACGCACGCACCTGCGTCTTGGACCCGGGCGCGGCAGCTCGAGTAGTTTCCCACGCGTTGCGTTAGGAGACTCGCCTGGAGTGCGGGACCCCGCCTAGACACCCTGCACACCCCCATCCCCCGGCTCCCGGCACCTCTCCGGCCCCCGGCCCCCTGCACCTCCCCGGCACAGTCTCCCGGCCCCCTGCGCGCCGTCCGGCCCCGAAACCCACCGCGCGCGCGTGTTCGTAGCCCGGGATGCAGCGGCGCCCGGGAGGGACACGCGGGCGGGGACCGGGACCGGAGGCCGCCGGCCGGCTTGAACACCCTCACGGAACTGGGCCGGAGCTGCGGTGAAGGGACCGGCTATTGAGGTCGCGTTTTCCCCGTAGCCAGGGAGAAAGGCCCGTCTTGACTTTCTGGTGGCCAGTGAGAAGATGGCAATCGTAAGTAAAGCAGAAGGACCCTCGCTCAGAGATCAGAGCCCGGAGCTGGCAGTTTGGATGTGGGTCGGAAGGGGTTAATATTTTGAATTAGTTTGCCATAACTTTGAGCCCGTGACCTTAATTTCATTGCCACCGCTCTTAGCACACTTTCAGCACACACAGATTCGGTAAAAAGGCGAATCTAAAAAGAGTTGGTCTTGATGTTGAACAATGTAACTTTTTATTTAAAACAGCCCCGCACTGCCGTGTCGGAAAGCCTCTGTGATGCTTGTTTTGTTGTCATATTTTGTTCTTTACATCAAGAAATTGTTTGTACAAATATGCGGAGAACTGTGTATATTGCTCAGTTTTTATCAGGGTGTTTAAGTCCTGGTATTTCGTACAGAAAAATGTATTAAAACTGGGGTTTGTTACCAGTTGCTGTACTTTGTATATAGAATTTTTATAAATTGTATGCTTCAGAAATAATTTATTTAAAAAAAATTTTAAACACTTAAATCCACATCTACGTTACACCTTTGCTCCCTGAAATTAATAGAATTTGACACCAGGGACCCAGACCCACAATCTGTTGTGAGTGTGCTCTATGGAACCATTTGAAAATGTACAGTGTATTTTATAGATTTGAAGTTAACAAGAATTTTCAAGAACATTTTGGACATCGCAGAAAACGTACAAGTTTATTTGCAAACTTGCCTTAAGCATTGTATTTTTATAGACATCGTTTTATTTTGTTTTGTTTTTTTAAAAGTACTATGCTTTAACTATTTCTTTGTGCATTTTTTGGTGGTTTGATTAAAATTTGTGTATCAGTAAAAAGTCTTAAGTAATAACTGTGGTGTAACTACTTTTCAGAATTACACTGTGGTTAGCTCAATAATGAGTTGAAAAGAGGGTGGAGGGGGCCACGGGCAATCTCTGAACCATCAACTGAAATTAAGGTGTAAAACAACAAATGAGGGACTTTTATTGCTGACTTTAATTTGATGCACAATTAGCTATCTCTAAATGAGGGAGATAAAAATATAATTGATTTACTTTGGTCTTTGCATTTGTGGTGAAAATTCATAGATGAAGAGTGTCAAATCATACGGGGGTTAGCTGGGGCCTCTCTTTCCTCCTCTCTGCGGCCCACACCCCCTTCCCAGAGCGCCTTCTCTTACATTCTCCTGCACTCAGACCCGCCAATAACATCTGTTGCCAATAGGAAATCTAAGCGACTGCCTACTTCAGAGTCATTTTCACACTTTGGATGGAAAAGTACAAAATTTTGTTGCAAAACATTCAGGAGGGCAAAAATAAACATACTGGGGAGAGGAACAATTACCAGAACTTGTAATATTGTTGTGAGGAGTTGTTTAGCAGTGGACTGAAGGCTGGGTCACTGCCAGCGCTACTGATCTACACTCAAACGCTCTTAGATAAATAATTACACTCTTAAGCTGTGTCGAGTGCTGATACACTTGACCTTGTAAATAGAAATGTTTGCAGTAGGAATAAACTCCAGCATTGGAAAATCTTTTAAACATTAACACAAAAGAGAGCGCTGTGTCCTCTGGGGATTTGATTCTGAACCTCGCCAAGCTAGGCACTTGCAAGGGGGGAAAAAGTTTATTTATCTTCTATTCCTGGTGTTTATTTAAAGCTTTTCATTTTAAAAAGCGGTGATTGGAAGGCAAGTCAGGAGTTTAAAAGTCACCACAAATAAACTTTGTCTGAGGGGTCGACAGATTAGCAAGATCTCTTGTCTCTTTATTTGATATTAACATGTGCTGAGAAAACAGGACCAGATTTCTCTGCTGCCTGAAGTAATTAACAAAGTTCTGACCACCCCTCCTCTCTTCCTCTCCTGCACTCCCCCACCCCTCTAGTTTCCAAGTTTCTTTTGCCTCTAACTTGCTCTTCCTCAGAGGACTTGAGGCATTTCTAATTAGATGTAAAACCAAGGTTCCCAGGCATGGTATCAGAATGTTGGAAACTTTTGCCTGAGACCAGTGCCTAGGAAGGTGGGGTGTGGGTTATATCCCAGTCACCTGAATGATTGAATAAACATTGTTAAAACAAAGTTGAAAGCATTGTTTCTTGGGAAGTGAACTAAGTGTATTCCAAGAGTCTTGTCAATGAATTCAGCTTTTCTTACAGAAATAGAGAAAAAAGAGTTAGCACTATGCCTGTGTTTGTTCCTCAGGTATATTTAAATCATCTCCCTCTTAGTTATTTCAACACATTCTTGACGAAAAATTAAGGTTTTGTCCCATCAAGAGACCCCGTTTTCCTCAGTAAGAAGTAAAGGGCATTAGCACTAGAAGAGAAAAGACCTGATAATTAACTGCTATAATAAACTCACAACTTGATTTTAGGGTCCTGTCAAAAGCATCTGCCTGGAATAAATTATAGCAGCTCACTCACTCTTGGGGAGTGGAGGCTTTATGCTCCTCCTGAGGAGAACATTGATGGGTGAATTTTAACAGTTCTAACACAGGAACCCAATAATCCTCACCTCTTGGTTTCCTGACAGAGCCAGTGGATTCCAGAACAGGTTGCGGAGATGTTAGGCCCCTCTGAGTTTGCTGTGTCTGCTCCTAGACAGAAAGGAACTTTGTAGATGTTAACCTCTGTAATATCTCAGGTCCTCAGGAAAGCCCGTTGGAATTTGGATGTTTGATTCTCTCAGATACCTCATGGGGAAGACCTGCAAGTACTTTTACCAGGTTTCTCTGGCTTTTCCTGGGAACACTTGAAAGGTGCTTCAATTCTCACAAAAGACTGTCAGGGCCAGAGTCCCTCCGAGTGGGTTTCCTGTAAAGCCATGTGTCCTTGTGGTCAGTCCCCAGTGAGCAGTTTGCATTCTCAGTGACAGTTTATTTGTCTTTGGAGGCACTTCAGTGACAAATGTTTAAGGGAGTGTGGGACAATGGTGGAGAACAAGGGGGCAGTTCATTGAACTGACAGTGACCATACAGTAAATAGAAGGAGATTCAGGCTTCACTGCTCACCCAGCACATAGCAAGGCCCTTTGTGTATGACCACAATGGATACAACATATGGTCTCTGTTCTTATCTAACACCACACAGCAATGTACATGAGCACACTGTGGTACGGATATGTAAGGTGGGGAAAATGGCTGGAGGGAACTCAGTTGTAGTCAATAGGACTGCATCCCTGTCCTTCAACGGGACCTGACATGACCAAAAGTAAGGAAGCAGGCCCTGAGAGCAAATGCCATTAGCTGAAGGGGTCAGCACATTCTGAGGCTTCTGGAATGTACCACAGTTCTCTAAGTGAGGTTCCTGTGGTTAATAAACACCTGACCCAGAATCTCTCTCTCCCAAATTCTCTTTTTCTCAATCTCTCTCTCTCTTTCTCTCTTTCTCCTCTATCTCCTCTCTCTCCTCTTTCTTTCCCTTCCTTCCCTCTTTCCTTCCCTCCCTCCCTTCCTTCCTTCCTTCCTTCCTTCCTTCCTTCCTTCCTTTCTTTCTCTCTCTCTCTCTTTCTTTCTTTCTTTCTTTCTTTCTTTCTTCCTCTCTCACAATTTAATTTTAGGGTCCTGTCAAAAGCATCTGCCTGTAATAAATCATAGCAGTTCACTCTTGGGGAGTGGAGGCTTTATGCTCTTCTAGAAAATAAAAATGCTCTCTCTCAAAAAACATGTTCTCTCCAAAAAAACATTAAAATTCCTTCCTCACCACAGCCTCCATTCCACACATATATGTGTGTGTGTGTATGTGTGTGTATATATATATACATATATATATGTATATATAGCATAAACTCTTGAACATAACCTGTGTAGCCCTTTTCAACCTCTTCAAAACCTACATTATTGTATTTGAACTCTAACTCCATGGAACATTAGAAATCTTGTTAGTTGTCCTGTTCCGACCCCAGCTGACAACTACCCCAAGTATGGCCATTGATTACAAAAGCCTGGGATCGAAGAGTAGGGCTGGGTGGGATGGGTTTCACTGTGTTGAGTTGCCTGTGAGTTAAGGAAAGTTGGATTCTACTGTATTCTATTGGAGGAATTGCCTCTCTGGACAGTTGAAAAGATTCACACTTGATTATCTGAAGGAAATAAATAATGTGCTATTAGCATAAATACCTCCTAAGTCATCCATTTAATCAATTTATTAAATAACAGAATGATCTACTACAAAATAGTGGACTGTATACACTATATTTTGGCACAAAGATGGTCATTCTCCTACTAGTAACCACGGGCTCTAAATAAATGATTTCAACAATGTTTTATTAAAGGACGACAAGAGCCCTCAAGCTGCATTAATCGGGGAGAAGTCGAGTGGCACTTTTGTCATGGAAATGTTAAGCACATAATAGCACTGCCAGACAATGTGCAGCCACTTCATTCTTTCAGCCATGCTGACACCTCTTAAAGAGGAACTGCAGGGAAGTATGTGGGAAAGATTTGCTTTTCGAGAAAGCTTTCAGCTCATATTTTGAAGGGCTACCCCCAAAGTCTATGTAATATGCTTGCAATGGAAGCTGGAAGGGATGAGGAGATGCAGAACAGCTTCCTTTACTTCGGGAGCTTATGTACCATAATAAGATCAAATATCTGCACTTGGGGGCACAGGACTTGCCAGAGATGTATGTAAGTATTTTAGTGATTTCATAGAGCTCCAAGTTCAGTTTCAGAGACCAAAGTCTTGGCCACTCTCTGGTGCAGATATTTATCATTGGCAGCAAACAGGTTGCATTGAAGTCTGCAGAGAGGTGAGTATATAGAATGTCATCAAGGAATCTTTAACAAAAAATAAGATAACTTTTTTATATTATAGAGGAAACCTTATGTTCTCTGATTATATGTATTATTACAAGTTGATTTCCACATTTTTATTTGGGTGGGGAGCAGCCTGCAATGCCCAGGGGTTACTCCTAACTCCGTGATGGAAATCACTCTAAGCGGTGTTCAGCGGTCTGTGTAAGATGCTAGGAATCAAACTCAGGTCAGGCATGTGCAAGGCAAATGCCCTACCCTCTATCATTTTTCTGGACCTATAATTTCTATATTTAAATGTTATAAATTTTATAGGCTACTTGTGGTTCTTGGATAGCAGAGTGGAATAACAACTCACAACTTAACACTTTTATATGTCATCATTGATCAGATGTTACTAGGAACCAAATCAAGGACATTTCAATGATATCTGAAGCCTTACTCGCTCACAGATACCTCATTTGTAAAATCAACTCTCTAGCCTTCAGTTTTAACCCATCTTACCTCCTATTAGATAAAAGATCTGTGGAAGTCCCAGCTATTTGCAGCATCCACTCTAGAAAGCATGGATATAACCTTTTAAGATGACTAAGACTCCTATCTGTAATCCTGAGCAGGTGAGAGGAGGGGTCATGGAAAGGTTTAACATTCCTTCCACAGGTCCCACAGTTAAAGGTCTGCTAGTGGAATATGACACGTTTGGTCTTGGACAATGTGAAAGTCAAGAGGTAGATAGACACACTGGTACTTTCAACATCAAGTAGCATGCATAGAGGAGAAAGATCTGATTGAAGGAAGCTTCTTGGAGGAGACTCTGAAGCTACGTTTAAAGAAAGGAATAGTAAGTAATGGGAAAGGTGGGAAAGATGTTTCCAATTGATGAAATCACAGGTCGTTAAAGGAATATAACAACATAATCTGTGTTTCTCTGTGTGGGTTTCAGTGTTGGAAATTGGGGGAGGGGCATTTATTTGGTCATTTGTTACCACCAACATATAAAGAACTATCAAGAAAAGATTAATAGAGTTGAATGATTAATGCAAAATTTCAGAAGCATTGAATGTAGGGCATTTGAGATCCTATGTTCCGCATAAAGATCAGGGCATGTTATGATTCTGAGGAGTAAATAGCAGAAATTGGAAGAGCAGCGAGGTACTGGATGAAGGACCTAACTTTGATAAAGACCATAGGGAAGAGAGAGGGCAAATCTATATTTCACTGGCCAGAATGACTTGAATTTATTCAGGGTCCAGAGGCAACATATGTTGCCAACTCCTGGGCCTCTGCTCAGGATGCTGTGTAGAAGATCTCATTTTCAGTCTCAAAGAAAGACTGAAAGGTGTGTCTTATGTGAGGACATTGAGA